GAGGTTGCTCTTGGTAGGATGCCACAGCACTCTACCAAGGGTGACATAGTAAGACTCTGTCTCAAAAAAAAAAAAGTTTTAATTTAAAAAATAAAGTATTGTCTAAAAATAATCAGTAATGTAGAAGTAAAAGGGCATAGACTGACGGAAGTTTTGAAGCTGTGTGGTCTTGGATAAGTTCCTTAATCAGCTGGGCTTTTTTCACTACTGTAAAGTGGAAACAACAATAGTTTAGTGAGGATTAAAAAAAGTTAATAGGTATAAAGTACTTATAACAGGACCTGGGACGCAGTAAGCACTCAGCAGTGTTAGCTATTAGTGTTAGTGTTAGTACTACAGCACATGTGTGATAAAATTACTGGTGAACAGCAGACCCTAATGCACAACAGAAATGCTAGAGTACCCTTCCCAGTTGCTGGCTTACACTGCCTTCCAACTGAAACCTCTGCAATATGTAACATGTGACAGCAAACCAAGCTGGCAAGATAAATGAGTGAGACCTTTTGGGACTCACTTGATAGGACTGAAATATTCCTTGCTAGTTACATTTCTTTGTCATTCATGGCTGAAAGCAAAACCTGAAATCAGCAGAAATATATCTCTCAAGTAGATTGCCTAGTCATTCATCTAACCAAAGGCAGATAAGAATTATGTCATTGCCCCAGGAGTGCAGTAAATGAACCTAGGAAGCCAGTAGCTGAGGACACAGAGGAGGGAACTTCAGTGGTCTGAGTCACAGCTGCCAGCTGCCAGGGCCTGGTTCCCAACTTTAAGAGAGGATAAGTGTTGCCAGATGGTGTCAACAAATGCACTACAGAAAAATATTTTAGCCACACACACAAACACTATATATATATATATATATATATATGCTCTTTCTTTGTCCAGACCTTTGCAGAGCAATTCATAGGAATTATCCCATTTCATCCTTACAATAGACCCATAAAGTAAGTACTGTTTTATAGGTGAAGAACCTGAAGCCCAGAGATTATAAGTAACTTGCCCAAGGTCACACAAGCTATAAATGATAGAGGCAGCATCCGAACCAGGCATCAAACTATAGCGCTTATACCCTTCACTCCCAAATTATAGTAATTTGATCATTTTTAACACTTCTTTTGTTGTAAACAAATGAAAGAGCTTTTTAAAGTTTACTTTTCTTTT